TTGAAACTTAGCACTGAAGGGGTTGATTCTGTATTCATAGGTTTGTAGAAGTTAGGATGAAGGTCTTTTTCTTAACTATGTTCATGTTATAACATTTTTGCTGTGAAGAAGAGGCATGTGATCTCCGCTGAGTCAAATTCAGTTTTGAGAACTGCAAAAGTAAACCAATCATCTGTGATAATATCTTGTAGGCAGAGAAACTGCCCAATAATCTTACAAAAACCTCTGGAAGAGCATGACATTGTGAATGGATTCATGGAATTTATTTACCAAAAAAATTAAACATATACAGCCTTATTCTACATAATTAAAAAACTAATCTTTATTTCATGATGGAATAACCTTTGGATGGTAATATATTTTCCTCAAAAAGCATTTTATTTAAAAAAAAATCCGATTTAAATAAAAAAAATCCGATTTAAATTAAAAAAAAATCAGATTTTTTTGATTTTTTTAAAAAAATCATTGATTTTTATCCACCCTGACAAAAATGCACCATGCATTGCGTTAAATTGAACGCAATGTGGCAAAAACGCAACAAAAAACATGAATTTGATACAGAGCAGTGTGAAAGTATCCTTAACTGCTTCCCTTCACAGCTACACATATTCATTTTCTCTTTGCTTCCACAATGCTTCATTTTGCTGCCAGTGATGTAGAGAAATTCTTGGTACTTCGGGGTATAGGGAGGCATGTGACATACTCCCCTTTCACCCTTGTGACTGTGCTGGTGGTTGTGTTGTTCAAACATCCAGCACTGTCAAGTGACAGTACCAAATCTGCGCTAAGGCCCGGTTCACGCTATTGCGGGCTGTGCGGCTCGTGTTTGCACGGGCATGGCAGCCCATTCATTTGAATGGGTTGCTGTGCCTGCATTTCACGCAAGAAAAAAGGTGCATGCACCTTTTCAAAAATGAATCCGCAGGAAAACTGCATGGTCTTTGATCGTGCTGTGGGCTGAGATGTGTGAAGGGCGCCATTCAGGGATGAATGGCAGCCCCGTGTGTCTCACAAGAGTAGCACGATTTGGCTGCGGGTGGTTCCGGTGCGGGAACAGGTGCGATTCCTGAACCAGACCTCATGCAGAGCTAACTTTTTTCACTGCTAGCGTAAAAGAGGAAGGGAAATGAAAGAAAGGTAAGCTTTGCAGATGATGAGGGCAACAGTTATGAGAATCTGTTGATTTGCCTGCTTGGGCAAAACTAGTTTCCCCATAGAATATATGTATGTAAGCTACTTAAGTTACATTTCATTTGTGTGATGTTTCAGCATAACGTATTTCATTTACTTTTCGTTCAGCAATAAGTGACAGCCTGAAAGGCAGCATCTGAAAGACTTTGAGGACCAAGGGACGTATTTGTCCCATGTTTTTAGTTGTGTGTATCATCTGATTAAGAACTTAAAACTCTTTTTTTTTTGGTTTGAGTCAAAATATTAGTTCTTATCAACAAACAACAAATGGATCTAGCTTTTTGCCAATTATTTCATGAAATGGCTTAGTTACAGCAACTGAAGTGTACGAACTTTAAAAACCAAAAAATTGATTCTTTTGGCGTTCCAAAATCTTACGGTCCTCAAAGGGTTAAAGTGGTTGTAAAGGCTCAGGGTTTTTTACCTTCATGCATTCTATGCACACTGTTGTTGTGCTAATCTGAAGGCCACATGAAGTTTGGAGATCTTTAGCTATTGACTCTGCAGACAGTTGTCGACTTCTGCACACTGTGTGCTTCAGCATGGGCTGACCCCGCTCTGTCACTTTACGTGGCCTACCACTTGGTGGCTCAGCTGCTGTTGTTCCCAGTTGCTTCCACTTTGTATCAATACAAAGTAACAGTTGACCGTGGAATATTTAGTAGCAAGGAAACTTCACGGATGGACTTATTGCACAGGTGGCAACCTATCACAGGACAACGCTTGAATTCACTGAGCTCCTGAGAGCTACCCATTCTTTCACAAATGTTTGTAGAAGCAGTCTGCATGCCTAGGTGATTGATTTTATACACCTGTGACCATGGAGGTGATTGGAACACCTAAATCCAATGATTTGGAGGGTGGGCCCAATACTTTTGGCAATATAGTGTATTTTCAGCAAGCAAATATTTTGAGTCATTGCTGCAGTGTTTACTGTAAAGATAATTTTATATCACTTTCACATTCTAGATAGATGATCTTTATTTTTTTTCTATTAACGAAAGACATCTCTTTAGTTCATTGATGGATATAGCTTTCTCCTTTCCACTGGGTGGATTCCTTGTTTGTGGTCAGTCTGGACACAGAAAGATAGGTGGTCTCTGAGGTCCCCATTTCCTATTGGATCCACCAGACTTTAGGCTTATTCCATCTATACTTGGATCCCTTATCTCTTGTTCTGGCTTTTTTCACTAGGGTGGATAGTTTTTTAAAATCATACATACCTAGGTGGATTCTGCATCGATGCAGTGCCGCATCTGTCCCACGCCATTCTAAGTGTGAGAACTCAGCAATCACATGACCTCTGGTCACTGAGTTCTCACATCCGCTCTGAGCAGAGAGCGGTTACTGTCAGTCAAAAACAAAAACTGTAGCTACTCACTTTTAAAAAACAGACACTCACCTGTCCCTCAATCTAGCTGTATCCTCACCGCTGCTGATTTCACCGGCTGTCCTATCTCCCCGGAGCCAGCATCTTAAGTGTGGGCATCTGGGTGCCCACTGCTCATGCGGGAGTAGCGTTGCGCCTTGTGAATGATCCCGTAGTCTTCTGGGACCTGTCACATGTCCCAGAAGACTATGGGGAGGGAGGGAGAGAGGACAACGTCCACTATTGATCGCCTAGATCATTGCAGCAGACATGGGGACGGATACCTGTCAAAATCGGATACCCCCTGCTCCCAAAAGGTTCCAGTCCTTAGCGGGGGACGGGGCCTTAAAGCGGAACTTCCCTTCTTGGGTGAAGTTCAACAAACTTTAGTCAGAAAATGAAGCCTTGCTAAATCTCTTCAGGCTGGCCTCTTTTGCAGGTATAGCTATATAAAACATTAAAAACTGCTAAAAAGTGCTTATACTGTTTAAAATCCAGTAATACTCTATCTCCAGTAATCCAGTAATACTCTATGTGCTATGCACATTCTCAGTTGTTCTCTATTTTATGGCACTGCGTGGAAGCCAATCTGCTAACAGCTTAAAGATTTAATGCTGCTCATTGGTTTTGGGATTTAGCAAAATGGCAGCCTCTAGGAAGAAGAAACAGGCTCAATGTTGTAGGCAATTTACAGAACACACTAAGTTTGGTAGTAGAATTATTAATGTGGAATGTACAGAGGTTAGACAAAAAAAGTGGAAACACTACATGATTTGCAGGTGTGAAAGTGATGACATGTTTTGCATTGAAAGCAGAAGTGATGTAACATTCTTTTGCTTTCGCTGTGTGATGAGACACCTAGCTTACAGGTGGGAAGCCTCACTTTCGTCATTCACTGCGTGCGCTGCTAATAATATGGAGTCATGTCAGCGCTTACTGAGCTTCAAGGAGGGCAAATTGTTGGTGCTCGCATAGTTGGTGCCTCTGTGAGTGAAGTTGCCAATTTATTTGCTGTGTCGTGAGGTACAGTGTCAAAATATATGACGGCATATACAGAAAACGTTGTCTGATAAGTGTAAGCGCGGTCGACATGGTCAGCTGACTGAAAGAGACAAAAAGACATTGCGCAGGATTGTAAACTGGAATAAGAAAACAAAAGTGACTGCAGAACTCATTGTCAGTCCCGTGAGACTGAGTACCGAATGTTACATCACTTCTGCTTTCAACTCCAAACATGTCGTCACTTTCACACCTGCAAATTATCTAGTGTTTCCATTTTTTTGTCTAACCCCTGCATGTTCCTTGCTAAAGAACATTATTTTTAAATCAATTTATTATGGATAAAGTTTTGCTTTAAAGCCTAACTACAAGCTGGTCCAAGCAAACTGCTTCCTTCACTAACAGACAGGAGCACCGTATAAACTGAATGTAGCATAAGCTACATAGAATATGCAGCACCATGTTCTGCCCGAGGGATGGGTATGTCCAGTCCTGCTCCTAGAACAGAATTGATTTGGGCTGCGTGCCAAGCATCAATGAATACAAAGCTTCCTCTGACTGGCGGAGGTGGAGAGGCAGGTGGATGACATCACAATCAACACCTCAGCCAGTCAGACTAAGCCTTGTATTTATTGATGAAATACAATGCTTCCTGTGAATGGCTGAGCAGTGTACAACTCAACCCTATTTTGTTCCAGTAGCCGGACAAGAAGTTCCCATCCCGCTGTCAGAACACAGCGCTATATGTTATATAGCTGATGCCTCATTCAAAGAAATCTTTTAAAGACACAGGAAACCTGGAATTAAACTTTTTAACTTGTAACTTGGACTTTAGGTAGCGACTGCTCTCCACTGGAGTCCTTGAAGGATATGTAGACCCAAACAATGAACTTTTCTTATTTGCTCCCTTTTAGCCTTGTACATATACCATTGGAAGTGTTTTCTAATATCAGTTTGATAAGTTCTAAAAAACATACTTCTTTATCCTGCCAGAAATCCCGTGAGTTCTTAACTTACTGTGGAAAGCTGACAGTGCTGCACTGAAATCTTAAACAGTGTTATGTGCACTATGTATAGTGCTGTCCTAGGGTGACAATGCTGCTCTCCTATAGATAACAATAAGTGTCAGGAAGTGCATTGCTGGTAAAACCACCAGCTCAAAATAAATAAAAAGAGCATGAAAAAAGAAAACTAATGCAGCTACCAGACTGGTAAGATGCAGGATATTACATCATTCTTGGCTTTTGATACACTAATAGTTATCAAAAAAAGAAAAAAACAACAACAGGCCATTCAACTAACAGACACTAACCTAAAGCCTAAATATAGGTTACCCATAAAATGTTTAAGTTTGCATTTATTTTTCTGCAGCATTCAGTATGATTATGTGTAGTAGTAGAGATAATGCCAACTGAGAGGCTGATTTCATTTTATGTTTCAGGCTGAACAGAGCCCCCTTTCTCCGCTTTCTCCTGAAGTCCGGACTGGTGTTTGGTTTCATGTTGGAGACTTGGTTTGGTCTAAGGTGGGAACTTACCCTTGGTGGCCCTGTATGGTGTCCTGTGACCCCCAGCTTCATGTTCACAGCAAGATCAATTCCAGAGGTAAGACAGATTTGCACATTGTAATAACAATATAGTACTGTTTTACAGAGCTGGACAAATGCATATTAGACTATCCCAGGGGTGGACTGACAACTCATGGGGCCCCTGGGCAATAGGGGTTCATGGGGCCCCTGTGTCCTTGCCCAAACTCAAAAAAGCCTATGAAAAAGGTACCAGCGGCATCTCATGGGGCCCCCTACTGACCCCGGGCCCTCAGGCAGTGCCCGAGTTTCCAAATGGTCAGTCCGCCCCTGGACTATCCCTATCCTGACTCTGTAAAGTAGACCTAGAGTAAAAATTGACTTCCCCTTCTATCCTGACAAACCTGCCACCTTAAAGTAATAAATAGCTGTGATTACAAAAGGAAGAACATATTGTAATTCTTTGAGGCACAAATTGTTTTGGGCTTTCTTGGTTGCCAGTCATGTGATCATATGCCTGGGCATTTGAGCAGAGATGCTTGAGAATGGATGTTCAGTCAGACCCAAACATTCTGCAGTTTTACCTGCTCTCTGAACCTCCAACCTCAATGGAGATCCTGGGAGTAATTGCCTAGGCATTGTTATGTGACCAGCCTCTTTGGGAGCTCTGAAGCAACAAGGCTTTTTCCTTTTAAGCTGTTATCTTATGGGGGTATAGTGGTTTTGATGGTGGGATTGTTTTCTTCAGTCTGTATTTGGTTTAAGGGGTCCCCTGGCTTTTAAAGTGGAGTGAAGGGCTCCCTAATTCTATATTAATTTGTTCATCTCCATGCAATATTAACGTAAAAGGTAATAATGGCTAATATGGCATATGCAAGAATCATACATTCATATGAACTAGTTATAATACTTAGCTTATAACATGAAAACTGAAAGTACCTAAAGTTACCCTCAGTATCTTACTTGCATTCCCCAAAACAGGTGCTCGTGAATACCATGTGCAGTTTTTCAGCAATGAGCCAGAGAGAGCCTGGATACATGAGAAGCGCATGCGGGAATACCGAGGTCGGAAGCAGTATGAGCAGCTGGTGGCTGAAGATGCTGCTAAAGTACTTAACCAGTCAGAAAGGCTCAAGGTGCGATTTGGCTTAGACATAACTACAGTGCAAGTATTCTGAATTTTTACTGACAATTGAACCTACACTATATGGCCAAAAGTTTGTTGACACCTAATCATCACACCCATATGAGCTTTTTGGACATCTCATCCCCCAAAAAATGGCAATATAATGTATATATATATATATATATATATAAAATATAGAATCCCCACCCCCATCGCCCTTGTGACTGTGACAACTTCCACTCTCATGGGAGAGCTTAACTAAAGATCTAAGCATGTTTCTGTGCGACTATGTACTCATTCAGCATATGTAAGGTCAGGTACTGATGTTGGATGAGAAGATCTGGCTCAGTAGCATTGAAGTCAGGCAACTTGATTTCCACGGCAGCAAACTCTTCAAACCATGCTTTCTTGGAACTGGCTTTGTACACAGGGGCACAGTCATGCTGGAACAGAAAAGGTAATTTCCTAAACAGTTGTCCCAAAGTTGGAAGCTCCCCATTGTCTAAAATGTGTTTGTATGCTGTAAAACTAACAATACCCTTCACTGAAAATACCTCAGTAGTTTGGAGCGGTGTCCACAAACTTTTGTCCATAAACCATAGACATAATGATCAGCTTTCCACAATCCTTCATCCGAAATAGCGTACAATATGCTATTTAGAATGTAACTCCAGTTGTGTTGAAAAAATCAGTAGTCTTCTCTATGTAAATTATTAAATTAAAATTATTAAATTATTAAATCGGCTGCAAAGATTTTAGCAGTATTTGTGGCAGATGCATAGCTTTCTGTGTTTTGAAGAAATTTCTGATTGTTTCACAATGTCCTTTTTTAAACTGATTTCTGACTGGAAGAGTCACATGGTGCAATCTCAGTCTTATAATCAGAAAAGATGCCATGTCTGCATGTTCTTAGGCAAGTATGAGCTATAGGGAGTAATTTGCAAAACATATTACTCCAGGGAATTCCTGATAACTAACTTGTAATTCAGTGCAAACTTCTAGGAAATTAGTCAGCTAATCACACAAGCTAGAGCTCTTGGTACAGAAGAAATGTACAGAACCCCTTCATAAACCTTTGGGTTATACTGTTGCCTACAGGAGGATTGGATACTGAGAAACAAAGAAACTATGTCTAGTGTCTAATGAGGATGGGTGTCTGATTCAAGACCTAACCTACTTTTTTCTAACAACTTTCTTCTTTTTAATCAAGATTCATCCTCATGTAGCTGCAGGAGGTGTCTGATTTTCTAGCTACCAGGCACAGTTTTTGTCAGTCTTGATCTACATTCTTTTTGTGACTAGACCCTTCTGGATTGGACCTGGCCACCCCCAGGGCACCAGGCACTGCTTGAGCAGTTTCCAGACTGGTTCTGGCTAAGTTAGCTGCGGAGTGCTATTCAAGTCCAGAGCATTTAGCTTTACCTCTGCACTTGCTCTGCCTCAGAAGACTCACTTTTGTCAGTGGACTATTTTGGGCTGGCATCAAAAGCTTCCTCATTTTCTTTAGGCTCTGGGCGCCTATCTCAAATTCTCCTTTTTCTGCCTGCTTGCTGTTGAAGGGTTTCACACTGTGGGAATACTGATATACTTTCAAGCATGTGCACTATGCAGCCTAATTCCCACTAGACAGCATATAGGAAGCATGTCTTTGCTGCTCACAGATTTGTTCTTAATGTTCATCTGCTGTGATGCAAGGTCACCTCTGGTGTTGAGTGTTGGAGTTAACCATCAGCTGTTCATGTTTTGTAGGGTCTCAAGGCTTGTCTGATTCTGGGCTTGGGTATGACAACCTGGCTCTACTGGGTGTCCGTGGCACATTGCCTACTAATAGATTGAGGTCTGCTGTAGAACACCCCTGGATAGTGCAGACGCCCATAGACTGGAGTCCTGTTGCTTTTTAGTATTGGAGTTTCTTCCTTCCTCTGAGTCCTCTCTGGTTCCATTAGGTGCTGCTGGGCCTGCTCCCCTCTCAAAGGAAGCTCTTGCTAACTCATGCAGGACTTTATGTCGCAGATTGTCCAGTCATCTTCTGATTCCTAGCTAGATGACCTCAACTTGAGGAAATAGTCAGAGAGGGCTCTGGAGAACAAATTGTCCCTGAATGGCCAGATTTTGCAGATGTTCTGATTGGATTTTGAATCTTCAAAAATCATCACTCTCTCCTACCCATCACTTGAAATATCTGTTGCTGGTCCTGGACACTTTCCCAGGAGAAACTTCAGACTCTCCTGTACTCTGTGCTTCAGTACAGGAGCTGTCCAACTAGCCACTTCTGCATGAGAGTCTTGGATCTGATGGTGGCCTGCTTTGAGGCAGTTTCATTTGCCTAGTTCTATTCAGGAAATGTGCAACATGATGTTCTTTTATCATGGGACAAATTGATCTATGCTATGGACAGATCTTTCATTGGACACCAAAGAGCTGGCTGTTCCTGTCTTGTTGGCTTCAGAATCTAGCTCTGACATCAGGAAAGTAATTCCTACCTGTTTTGCGGAAGATCCTGATGACAGACGCCAGCCTTTTTAGCTGGAGGGTAGTTCTGTTCACTCTGTCAATGCAGGGGCTTGCTGGTTGGTGCAATTTCTGCAGGTGATTGGGCTGAGTCTCCAAGGTTGGACCTATCTATTTCTAGGTCATCTGCTTTAGATTCAGTCAGACTTCACTATAAGATTGGCATACATCATTCATCAGGGAGGAACAATAAGTCTTGCTGCGGCAAAGGAGGTAAAGCACATCCTGTCCTGGACGTGAACAACTTGTAGGAGAGTGTGGTACCCTGACCTGGTAAGACTTCTCATGGATGCACTGTTATCTCTGCTAAGCTTTCGTGATATCTGTCCCAAGAATGCTGAGGCTGTTGAAGCCCAGGTTCTAAAGGGCAGGGGTATCCCTGAGAGTGTCATCCCCACCATCATCAGGGCTAGGAAGTCTACTTCCTAAAGATCCTTGTTGCTATCACTTTGACTACACGGGTGGCTGAACTGGCAGCTTTATCCTACAAGGGACCGTTTTTGGTCCTACAGAGGGATAAGGTGGTTTTGAAGTCTAGACTGACCTTTCTTGCTTCCAAGGTTGTCTCTGCTTTTCAACTTAATCAGGAAAATGCCCTTCTCTCTTTGTGTCCATCTCTGGGTCACCAGAAGGAGATTTCTATCCACTGTTCAAATATGATTTGAGCTGATCGAGCATATCTCTTCCCACTACTTCACTCTATTCGCTCTGGAGTTGTGGATTGTTTTTTTACCATTCCAGATTGACCCAGGAAGGGCCCCCCAGCTTTAATTCCACCATTTCTAGGTGGCTCAAACAGATCGTGCAAACTTATAGTCAAGGTCAGGTTTTTCCCCTTACATTCCAGGCTTTCTTGGAACAAGCTTTAAATGTTTCTTGGAAATTTTGGGATCAGGCCTTTGTTTCCCAGGTATTCAGTTCATATGCTTTACCAGGTAAACATTTCAGCTATGGAAATATGTCTCCAAGTAAATGTAATTAATGCATTGTTGCATAGAAAATGTGTAGTCATACCTTAGTTAAGTCATTTGTCAATCAAAAGTGACCACCTGTGGCTAGTAATCTTGTATGTAACTTGTGCTTGCTTTGTCACCTGGGCATTAATATCTGGTAATGAAGACTGGCTACCACTGCTTCCCTTCCCAATGCAGTGGGACTGATTGTACTACTTCTTCTCCACTGCTTCCCTTCCCAGTGCAGTGGGACTGATTGTACTACTTCTTCTCCACTGCTTCCCTTCCCAGTGCAGTGGTACTGATTGTACTACTTCTTCTCCACTGCTTCCCTTTCCAATGCAGTGGGACTGATTGTACTACTTCTTCTCCACTGCTTCCCTTCCCAATGCAGTGGGACTGATTGTACTACTTCTTCTCCACTGCTTCCCTTCCCAATGCAGTGGGACTGATTGTACTACTTCTTCTCCACTGCTTCCCTTCCCAATGCAGTGGGACTGATTGTACTACTTCTTCAATGCTTCCCTTCCCAATGCAGTGGGACTGATTGTGCTACTTCATCATCACTGCATCCCTTCCCAATTCAGTGGGACTGATTGTACTACTTCTTCATTGCTTCCCTTCCCAATGCAGTGGGACTGATTGTACTACTTCTTCTCCACTGCTTCCCTTCCCAATGCAGTGAAACAGATTGTACAACGTCTGCAGAGGCAGCACTGACCTTGTGACCTCTTCACTTGATTGGTAGCCCAGCCCAGAGTATGAATCATGGGAGATATAGTCTTCAACATGCAGAGGTAATAATATACGTAGAGCAAAGATCCCAACCATAACCTAGTGATAGTCATAGGCTTTGTGTAGACCTTTAAAGGATAAGTTCACCTTTGGGAACATGTTACATGTTCCACTGGTTTTTAGGGTGGAACGTGTAACATGTTCTCATAGCTGCAGTCGCCGCCCGCTGCCTCCCCTCCCTCTGACAGATAGTATGGGGAGATGCCTACATGGCCGCATCATTCATTCACAGACTTCTGTGAAAATGAATGAACTGCAAGTCGTCGGCTTTTAGTTTTCAATGAACTACCACAGTGCTGTGGAGTGCCGTGATAGTTCATTGAAGCTTCCTGTCAGTAGATCTGCTTACTCGTATATCCCGTATGGCAAGCAGATATTCTGACAGGTCTGCAGGAGACTAGCGATCTCTGGTACAATGCTTTCCAGGCTTGTGTAGACAAAAATAATAAATGCACATATTTTTACCTGCAAAAAAATATGCATTTATTATTTTTGTCTGAAAGGTGAAATCCTTTAACCATTTCCCACCCGACCTATAGCCAGATGGTGGCCGGGCGAGCACCTCGTCCCTCTGGGTGTACGCCATATGGAGTCCTTTCAGGCATGCGCAGTTTGTCTCCCCGCAGAGCCGCGCAGTGGCGCTATCTGTCAACGGCCATGTACCTCGAACTCGGCCAATGACAGATCTGTGTACCGGCCAGTACCATGTGATTTGCTGTGACCAATCACAGCAGATCACATGACAGTTGTG